GATAAAGCTCATGGAGCGGGGAGAGAGAGGGCCTAGTAGCAACCGGTGAAGAGGCGGGGCCAGGAGCTAGGACTCGACCCCTGCAACCACAAATAGGTGAGTACAAATAAGTGAGTACACACACGAGTGGAGACAGTGTAGTGGGTCACAAGCGCCAGGCTCCGAGGATCTTAGTGCTTTTAGGGCGTGTTTCAGCAGTTAGAAGCAACCAGTGTTAGTGAGAACGCCAGTGAACAACCCTACAAGTGATAACCAAAGTATTAGCAAAAATAAATAAAGTAAAGGCGAGAGAAAGCCTGAAATTATACAACAAAATTTCAAAGTGCCAGTTCGTTGAGGCCTAGTTGGCACCTGTTGCCACATTGTTACACATATACAAAGTACAAAGCGAGTGACTAAAGAGAAAAGACCAAATAGAATTAAGAGAGGGTGGTAACGACAAAATGTGATGTAGCACACAGCGTGAACAAGCTAGCCAGAAAGGGGATATATATATATATATATATATATATTATATATATATATATAATATATATATATATATATATATATATATATATATATATATATATATATACATACATACATATACATAAATATATATAAGCAGAGGTGGTGGCAGCAGTAGGCCTGAGGGAGTAGCGCCGCCATAACAGGTTGGGTGTCATCACAGATAAGTAGTGTACTTACCAAAAGTGAAGTGTAAATTATAAAAGTAGCAGTATACAAGTGATAAGTGTGGTAAATGAGGACTCAAAAGGGCAACGAGAAAAGAATAGCCGAAGAAGTCAGCGGCGGAAGGGCGAGGTGTACGAGTCATCGTACAGCGAGCATCGTACAGCGAGCATCGTACATCAGGCATCTGGATGGACGTCCCCTCTGAGGAGTAACGTACAACCTGTTTTGTGGTTGGCGGGAAGTTTGAGTGGTAGAGCCGGCCCTGCGGTCACTGGTGGCTCGCTATCTAAACCCTGCTCCAGAGCGATTATCATACACACAACACCTAGCAGTAGTAGGAAGATAAACTTTGTAGGAGCAAGGACTAATGGGACTACAGCCCTGACAACAGTTTCGAGAGATAATGTTTTAGGACACACAGACAGTACAATCTGAGAAGCAAGTATTGGGTACACATGTAGTAAAAGGTAGTACATAACTGGGTGAAAGAATGACTTGTTAACACACGCTAGTATTATAATTATTAGAACTACTCTCAGTGTTAATGGTATCTCATTAGTATTACGGATACACAGAAGTGAATTGTATTTCTGGGACATATAAACAACTGACGTGCTCACACACACACACGCGTGCACACACATACACACTCGGGGCCAGGAACTGGGTCTCGACCCCTGAAACCACAACTAGGTGAGTACACACAGCTGATCCTTGGAATTTGACCGCCTCCCCCACAGACCTTCACTCCCTCCTACCTTTTCCCTCGCGTTTCTCCCTCTCATAGCCTTTTTCCCTCCCATTCCCCCTACTCACTCACACACTCTCTCTCTCTCTCTCTCTCTCTCTCTCTCATCTCCCTCACTCCTCTTCTCTCTCCCTCTCTCCATCTCCTCTCGTCTCTCGTCTCTCTCCTCTCTCTTCTCTCTCTCTCTCGTCTCTCTCCTCTCTCTCTCTCCCTCTCTCTCCTCTCCTCTCCTCCTCTCTCTCCCTCTCTCTCTCCCTCTCCTCCTCCCTCTCTCTCTCCCTCCTTCTCTCCCTCTCTCCCTCCCTCTCTCTCCCTCTCTCTCTCCCTCTCTCTCTCCCTCTCTCTCTCCCTCTCTCTCTCCCTCTCTCTCTCCCTCTCTCTCTCCCTCATCTCTCTCTCTCCTCTCTCCCTCTCTCTCTCCTCTCTCTCTCTCTCCCTCTCTCTCCCTCTCTCTCTCCCTCTCTCTCTCCCTCTCTCTCTCCCTCTCTCTCTCCCTCTTCCTCTCCCTCTCTCTCTCCCTCTCTCTCTCCCTCTCTCTCTCCCTCTCTCTCCCCCTCTCTCTCTCCCTCTCTCTCTCTCCCTCTCTCTCCCTCTCTCTCTCCCTCTCTCTCTCTCTCTCTCTCTCTCTCTCTCTCTCTCTTCCTCTCTCTCTCCCTCCCCTCTCCCTCTCTCCCTCCTCTCCCTCTCTCTCCTCTCCTCTCTCTCCCTCTCTCTCTCTCTCTCTCTCTCTCTCTCCTCTCTCTTCCTCTCTCTCTCCCTCTCTCTCTCTCTCCCTCACTCCCATAACTCAATCTCTCACCCTCCTCTCTCTCTATAGGCTTCTCTCTCCATCCTTCCATTTCTCTCTCTCATAGCCTTTTCCCTCGCCCTCCTTTCTCCCTCTCTCTCTCTTTCTCTCCCTCTCCCTCTCTTTCTCCCTCTCTCTACCCTTTCTCTCCCCCCTCACATTCTCTCCTCCCCCCCTTGGTCTTATCCCTCACCCCCATACTCTCTCCTCTCTCTCCCTCTTTCTACCCTTTCTCTCTCCTCTCTCTCCCTCTTTCTACCCTTTCTCTCTCCCCCCACACCCTCTCCCTCCTCTAGCCTTCTGTCTGTGGTAATAAAAATAAAGAAAAAAAAAAAAAAAAAAAAATGGGTGGCCTTAGAGGACGGAAAACCAGAGATCTGGAAGACGAACCAGGGAGGAAAGACTGGGAGTTAGAGCTCCAAAAAAGGGAGGAAGAGTGGGGAAGGAAGATAGTAGAGCTTGGTAAGAAAATGGAGGAGCGGATAGCTGAATAGTGCAGGAAGTGGGAAGTACAGGTCTTAGCAGCAGAAGCTAGGATACAGTGCTTAGAAGAGAAACTGCAAAGCCTGAAACAGATTAGAGAGACAAATGACAATTCAGATGTGACATCAGGAAATTCAAAGTCAGGCGCAGACAAGGGGATGGTAAGCAACAACAGAGACATGCCGTACACGAAGGCCCTATCAGACCCACGTGGGCCAGGGAAAAGACGATGAGCACACTAAGATCAAACGACAGGTCCGAAGACAATGAAGGTATGCTATATGCAGAGATTCTAAAAGCCAACTGCAGTAGCAAGGGACAGCTGGTCAGGAAAGACAGTTCACTGAGAATAGAAGTTTCAGATATGACAGGGACTGAAGGCAAGAACATGTCAATGGAAAGAAATAAAATGCCTCAGAGGAAGCAGATGGAGACTCAGTGGGAGGAGGAAAGGGCGAGGTCAGTTTTTGTGTACGGGCTCCAAGAAGCCAAGGGGGCCAACTTTGAAGAAATAAAACAGGAGGAGAATAAAATGATTGAAGGCATCATGAAAACAATAGGGGAGGGCAATATGACCCAGGTGACAAATTTTCAGAGAATAGGGTGGTTTGCGAGTGGAAGGATACG